TTGTGCTCTCAGGTTATATATTCACTGCCGACCTTGGTGGGTAAATGCATAAGGTGTTTCCACCTTCCCCCACCCTCAGCCTCTGAGGCCCCTCCTGATATAGGGGTTCCTCTTCTGTATTGATTTCCTAAGGCTACTGCAACAAAGTACCCCAAAGTGGATGCCTTATCAGAACAGGAATCTATTGTCCAACAGTTCTGGAGTCTGCAGCCTGAATTCAGGGTGTCAGCCGGGCCATGCGGACTCCTCAGACTCTGGGGGCGGGATTCTTGTCTCTCCCAGCATCTGGTAGCCCCGGGAGTACAGTCCCACCTCTGCCTCCATCTCTCTTCCACTGTGTGGCTCTGTATCTCTCCTCATTCCCAAGGGCATCAGTCAGATGGGATGGAAGCTCCCCTACTCCAGTGCAACCTCTCGTTAACTGATAACATCTTCAGAAACCCTGTTTCCAAACCAGGTCATGTTCACATGTGCAGGGGTCAGGACTTGAGCATATCTTCTGGGAGCACACAACACTGTCCTAAGGAAGGAAGCGGAGGGCAGGACCACATCGTAGAACCCCTGGGATAACTCCCTAGCCTGCCCTTGGCCTGTTCTGACTCACTCCCTCCTCCTCAGCAGATGCTTTTTTGGTACGGCTCTGTGCCAGACTCTGAAAGATACTGGATGAATCAGCCAAATGAGATTGTGTGAACCAGCCCCGTGTCCTCAATGTGGGAAGCTTGCTGCCCAACCAGGAACAGAAGCGCAAAGTGGCAGGGGGCTCCCAGAAGTGGGCACTGATGGGGAAAGAGGACCCTGAGCGGGCAGGGGCAGAGCACCCAGACGTCAGGTGTGGCCAGAGCAATGGGTGGGAGAGCCTGCAGATTCAGTAGGCTTGGGCTGGGAGGCAGTCAGGCCAGAGATGGCAGGCCAGGGCACTGGACTTGACCCAGGAGGCAGTGAAGTTATAAGCAGGTCACACGCAATGTCTTCTGTGTGACAGTGGACATAGGTACAGAGTATATGCCCCCATTTTTCTCAGTGCTTCTGTGTTTAGCTAACAGGACATGCATTCCCCCTGAGTTTCCTTAGCCGTCCCTGAGGTCCCATGACCGAGGGTCATGCCTGTGGTGGTGGAGCTGCTAAGTCAGTCTGGGCTGGTTGGATGGCATGGAGGTCCACGCAACTCCTTGGTCCTGAACACAGGCTGGCTCGGCCATTCTTGCCCACCAAGTGGAGTAGGGGGTATAATACCTTTGCAATAGGCAAGTCCTGGTCCACCTTCCTTGTTTTAGGGATCAGCCTCCTCATCCCCCCAGACGCCATACCACGGGGGAAGATCTACGAGATCTACCTCACGCTGCACAAGCCCGAGGACGTGAGGTGTGGGCACAGCCCGCGATGCACAGGGCGGGTGGGGTGTTCCTCTGGTCCCACTGCTGCATGGTGTGGCTGAGCCCGAAGGGAGGGCGAGGGGAGAACCACCTTCAGGGGGACCCCAAGGGCCACCTCACAACTCAGCTGCCCCACCCCACGGACGGCCCACTGACACCTCTCCCTCCCATCCCCCGTTTCCCCACTTGAGGTTGCCCCTAGCCGGCTGCCAGACCCTGCTGAGTCCCATCGTTAGCTGTGGCCCCCCCGGAGTCCTGCTCACGCGGCCTGTCATCCTTGCCATGGACCATTGTGGGGAGCCCAGCCCCGAGAGCTGGAGCCTTCGCCTCAAGAAACAGTCATGTGAGGGCAGCTGGGAGGTGAGCTGGGGGAGGGTCCCCAAGCCCACAGCCCCACAGGGCTAGTCTCAAAGTAGAGATGCAGTCCTGCAGTCTTGACTGTCTGATTCTCAGAGCACATTGGTCTGAGAGACAGCCTGGGCTGCGCTGACCACCAGGCTGCCCTGACCCCCTGCAGGACGTGCTGCACCTGGGCGAGGAGGCGCCCTCCCACCTCTACTACTGCCAGCTGGAGGCCGGCGCCTGCTACGTCTTCACCGAGCAGCTGGGCCGCTTCGCCCTAGTGGGGGAGGCCCTTAGCGTGGCCGCATCCAAGCGCCTCAGGCTGCTCCTGTTTGCACCCATGGCCTGCACCTCACTTGAGTACAACATCCGGGTCTATTGCCTGAATGACACCCATGATGCCCTCAAGGTACCGCCCCCCACCCCTCGCCAGCCCTGCAACTGGGGGCTGTGCTGAGCCTGACACTGTGTCTGATGACCCTGGGTTCCTGGGTACAGGAAACCTCCTTGCCAAAGTGGGTGGGTGGTGGAAGGGGTCCCCAGATACAGCCAGCCTGCCTGGGCCCTGCAGGAGGTAGTGCAGCTGGAGAAGCAGCTGGGGGGCCAGCTGATCCAGGAGCCTCGGGTCCTGCACTTCAAGGACAGTTACCACAACCTGCGGCTGTCCATCCACGACGTGCCCAGCTCCCTGTGGAAGAGCAAGCTGCTCGTCAGCTACCAGGTAAGGGCTGGGCCCGCAGGTCGGCAGGTGATCCACCCGGGTCCAGCGCACTGCTGAGCCGCCTCCCTCTGCCCCTCCCCTCAGGAGATCCCCTTTTACCACATCTGGAATGGCACGCAGCAGTACCTGCATTGCACCTTCACCTTGGAGCGCGTCAGCGCCAGCACCAGTGACCTGGCCTGCAAGGTGTGGGTGTGGCAGGTGGAGGGCGATGGGCAGAGCTTCAACATCAACTTCAACATCACCAAGGTGGGCAGGAGAGACAGCACCACGCAAACGTGTGCTCCTACCCCTACACCCAAATGCTCCACCCTCTGGGCCTACTTTGCTTTCTCTGCCGTGAAGCCCAGCCATGCCCCGCTGCTCCTGGGACACCTTTGGTAGCTATCCTGAGTCTCCTGAGGGAGAGGAGCCGATGCAAATACAAACACATGCAGTAAGACTTAGGAGAGAAATGGATGAGGTAGAAGGAAGCTGGAGGGAGGCAGAGCCTGCCTGGGGCCAGGAAGGCTTCCCTGCTTAGGGGCTTGTGCTCAGCCTAGAAGGATGAGTAGAAGTTAAGCAGGCAGCAGTGATGGCTGGTGACTGGACAGGACAAAAAATGATGGAACAGTGAGGGTCACCAGGAACTAGACAGAGGCAGCCTGGAGGGTAGGGGGTGGGGACCAATGTAGGACTCCCAGCAAGTCACTGCACCTCTGGGCTAGAGAAAGCCAAGTTCCTAGCACACCCCAGGGCACAGGAAGTGCCAGTACCCCCTCCTGGGAGCACGTGACCACGAGGCTGGGTCACCAGAGTCCTAACAGTCCCTCCATCCCTGTTACGCCTTTCCAGGACACAAGGTTTGGTGAGCTGCTGACTCTGGAGAGTGAAGGGGGGGTCCCGGCCCTGGTGGGCCCCAGTGCCTTCAAGATCCCCTTCCTCATTCGGCAGAAGATCATTACCAGCCTAGACCCACCCTGCAGCCGGGGTGCCGACTGGCGGACTCTGGCCCAGAAACTCCACTTGGACAGGTGGGTGGGGGATGGAGCGAGAGAGAGAGACGGGTTTCCAGGGTAGGCTGCATCACACTGGGTGGGTGGGGCAATAAGGAGGCCCAGGCCTCCAGACACGGAGGGGCCCAGACCATATCCACCAGCAGCCCCAAGATATGGCAGAAGAGTCCTGGAGTGGGCAGAGAATGGTGGGCAGAAGGCAGCCGTCCTGGGGTGAGGCCAGGCTGCTGATGGGCCTGCCTTCCCTCCACAGCCATCTCAGCTTTTTCGCCTCCAAGCCCAGCCCCACAGCCATGATCCTCAACCTGTGGGAGGCGCGGCACTTCCCCAACGGCAACCTCAGCCAGCTGGCCACAGCCGTGACCGGACTCGGCCAGCCAGACTCTGGCCTCTTCACAGTATCGGAAGCCGAGTGCTGAGGCCGCTGGGCCCCCAATGCCTACATTTTCACCAGCTTTGGCACCCGCCAGGGACAGACTGACACCCAGCAGGGGCTCTTCCCATACTCCAGGGAGAGCCTCATGGACAGGCCCCCTCCTGGCTGATGCTGTCCCTTAACACTGGGTCCTTCAGACCCTGCCCACACCCCCACCCTCCATGGCCTGCCTGGCCAGGCTGGCACTGCCACCTGCCCCCACCCTTCTCTGGTCCCTGAGGCCCAGGGAGACAGTGGCTGGAGCCAGGCCAAGCCCAGCCCATTTGTGTGTGTGTCTGTGCGTGTGATGCTACCTCTCCTCCGCCCCTGGCCAGGGCCCCGCATGCACACGGACATGCACGCACACGCTGGGCTCGGGCCGGGGCCCTGCCTCCCACCTGAGCTGGACTTTATGCAAACGTTTCTGTGCCTGCTGGGTAGGGGCACGTCTGAGGGGACCGCTGCAAGCCTGCGGGACCAAGGGCATGGCCAGGCGGCTAGGAGAGGCCTCTGGATTCAGGCACACGGCCACCCGCGGGCACGTGCACATGCCTGGCTCGTGCGCCCATTGCACACGCACCCACCCCAAGCGTGCGGACGCCCTCCACCACCGTCACATCTCACGCCTGTGCACCGGGGTCTCACCCACGTCCCTCACGCCCCCCAGTGTTTGTACACATCTGCCTCTCACTTGCTGCCCTGCTCCCACCCACGGGGCAGCTTTCCCCACCCCGACCCCAATCCCCAGGCCCCAGCCGCAAGGTGCCCTGCCTGGCGGGGCATGTGAATATGCAATGGGAGCCCCGTGCTGGGCAATGGCGAGTGTGCGTGCTAGGCGTGCCCATCCCAGGGCTGGCCGAGCCCACACGGGCCACCACGTGAAGCTTGTGTCCTGACTCCGTCTTAAGTGCATTCACGCACTTACACTTGGCCTTATGTACACAGCCTTGCCCAGCCGCCGGGGCACGTAGGGATTTTAGCGGACGTGAATGTAAATAAATTATATATATATATTGCTAACCCGAGTACCACTTCTTTAGGAAAAGTCAAGGGCCGAGGCTGCTGGAAGTGGGCCACACAGGATATTCTGGGGGGCCTGGCTGGGGGCAGGCTGGAGCTGGGGCCCCTGTCGTTCTTGAAGATGTCCTTCTTCAGACCCGGGTGGTCTGGGCGAGGCGGCAGGCGACAGCGGTGACCAGGGCTGCACCTTTGCCAGAGCCATCCTCCGACTGCAGGAACGTGACTCGACAGCAGGGCGCCAGCTCCCTCACAGTAGCCGCCACCAAGCTGGCAAAGCTGGGAGGACACAGGCTGGGGTGAGCCCAGGCCAGCTCGCCCTGCCCCCTGCCCAGCCTGGGTTCCCATACTCACTGGGGGTGCAGCTTGTAGAGGGTCCCATCCACTCCCACAGTCACCGTAAATTCCTTCAAGCCCCGGTTGTCGCGGATCTTCTCCACCACGGCTGCCACGCCCGCCCCACAGAGCTGGGCAGCTCGCCGGGACACCACTTGGCACACCTCTCGGACCACCAGGGCATCGTCCGAGGTCAGGGGCAGCCCCAGATCCTCCAGGATGGCTCGAACCTGCCGCAGAGCCAAGCTGTCGCTGGGGCGCGGGCGAGGAGGAGAGGAGGGCAGAGAGGCAGAGGCCTGCGTTAGTCCAGTGACCCTCTCCAGCATGCAGCACCCCACCACCGCTCCACCCACCATGGAGAAAAGCTCTCTGGGGAGATGAGTGAGTGCCTTGGTCACCTTTCAATCTCAGATAGAAACTTGGTCTTGAAGATGTCCCTCGTCTGCAGGCACTGGGTTTGCTGGCCCCGGAACAGCACGCCCAGCCTGTTCAAATGCAACAGGATGTGGCGGACGATCTCCCCCAGGTACATGCCACTGATGAGCTTCTCAAACCTGTGGGGATGTTCGTGCACAGAGCAGGACGCTCCATCAGTCACCTCTGCTGCTGGCGCCAGCTGTCACCTGCCCCACAGCCTGGACCCCACCCACCTCTGTTTGCCAGGGTTGATGGATGCCTCGTCCACGAGAGCATCGAAGTGGGTTCTGGGCACGTCCAGCACACCATCGTCCCCAAAGGCGCCCCATTCCATGTTGATGCACATGTGGCCAGACTCCCCGGGCACGGCTGCCACGTTCTGGAGCTCCTCCATGTAGCAGGCATTGGTTCCCGTTCCTGTGAGCACACAATGGGTGGGAGCCATTCACTGGCAGGAAGCAGGCCCCTCTGAGCAACTGCCACTTCCACATGGCAGTCAGAGCTCCCCCCTGACCTCTTCATCGGCCCGCACTCACAACTCGTCCCCCTTCCTTCCCAACACCCTGACATTAGTGGCTTGACCATCCTAGCCCAGGGAGCTCTGGTGGCTTAGTGGTAAGGAAGTGCACTGCCAACTCAAAGATACACAGTTTGAATCTACCAGCTGCTCCGCAGGAGAAGGATGGTCAATTTCCTCTCATACACACTGCCTCTGTAAACCCACTGGAGGATCAGCTACGGGTCGGCTGTCTTGATGGTACTCGACAACAACCATGCTAGCTCAGAATGTCCAAATGCCCCTCAGTTATTCTGTATCCCTAGGGGGCTCTGTCCACATTGAGCAGTTCTAGCTTCCAGGATGACCCTCCAGGGCCTTGGGTTCATAGGTGATGGGGGCTCTGTCCACATTGAGCAGTTCTAGCTTCCAGGCTGACCCTCCAGGGCCTTGGGTTCATAGGTGATGGGCCAGGAGCCAGAAACCAGCTGTACAGCCATCCACCTGCATTGACTCTGGAGAAGCACAAAGAAGAGGACAGAGCAGCCCAGAGGGTCAAGAAACCATCGGGGGAGGAGTGATGTGTGCATAGGGCTTTCCAGGCTGCAGGCCCACCCGGGGAACGGTGTGTCTATCTTTCATCTTCCCACACAGGTTCAGCTATCAGCAGGTGGCCACTGTGCTAGCTCCACCGAGAGCCCATCCACCCCACTTACACACGCAGAGCTTGTGTAAGCTGCCTGCCCAGGCCAGGCCAATGGGAGGCTGCCATGTGCCTTGTGGTCTAAGAGATGTATGTCCAAAGAGCTAGGAGAGAGCCCTCCTGTGCAAGCCAAACGCTTTATTTCCAGGCTTTGTTAGGGCCCCCCAGTCCAGGGCTACCTCCTTCCCAGTCTGTTGGAATTGGCCACCCAAACTGCAGTGTAGTCTCACTCTTGCTGCCACCTGCTGCTCTGAGCCCAGCTCTCCACTAGGCAGTCAGTTCCAACAAGGCAGGGGCTCCCCCTTTTTCTCTTCTTGACTCTCTTAGGTCCCAGCTAGTCACAGGGTAGGTACTGAGTAAAGACACATCTTGAGTCATCAAAGTGGGTGCAGGGCCCGCTCAGCTCTTATCCTTCGGCCATAGTCCTGAGTGTGGAGTGCACATCTTGAATCAGACATGTACTCTCAACCCTTTCAGTCCTCCCACCGCCCCTGAGACAAGCTCTGTCACTACGTTTATCTTAGAGATGAGGAGGCAGGGCCTAGCTATGTGGCCAAGGACATACAGGAAGAAAGGAAAGCCCACCAGCCACTGTCAAATCAGATTTGACTCACGGCCGCCTCATGTGTCAGAGGAGAGCTCTGCTCCGTAAGGCTTTCAGTGACTGGTTTTCCTGAAGTAGGTGCCAAGTATTTCTTACCAAGTGCTGCTAAAAGGACTCAAACCAGCCTTTCCATTTACATCTGAACGTGTTTGTACAATTCCAAGGGACTCCAGACAGGCAGAAATGGCAACTTTTTTTTCTTTTTCACCTAAATCTGTGTGCCTCCAAAACTTTGGTTCATTTTACAGATGGACAAGCTGAGGCGTTAAGAAGATTTAAATGATTCTGAGTCCGTGGATATGCTATGTTAGAATCCCAAGCCCCATACTCCCAAGTCCTACTGTATTTTCCAGAGCCCCATTGGGTCAGAAGCAGATAATTTGATATTCCCAGAGCTGAGGGCTGTCCACGCTGAGGACGCAACATCAGTCAATGAACTAACTCAGGCAGTAAGAGCACAAAGAGCAGGGCCCCTCCTCACCGACAATGAGGCCAACTTCGCAGCGGTGGTCTTCATAGCCACAGGACATCATGGTACCCACCGTGTCATTGACAATGGCAACCACATTCAGTTCCACTGCCTGCACACAAAAGGATGCTGCTGGTTGCTGGGCAACACGGTTGTCACGGCAACTGGCACTGGACTCAAAGGTCTTTGCTGCAAAGGGTCCCCTTCTCGGGAAGCAGGAGACCCTTTGCTTCCCCCAAGGCTGTCACACCACACCACCTCCTTCCATATCAGGGGCCCTGGAGGCAGGTTCCTACCTGTCTGCGCGCAATGGCTTCTCGAAGCAGTGTCACAACATCTTGTCCCTCACAGTCTGATGCCTTGAAACCCTTGGTCCAGTTCAGGAGGATGCCCTGGAGTAGCACCAAGGAAGGCAGAAAGCCAGAGGCCCCTTACAACACTCTGCCTTCTCAAACCTGCCTCCACACGCACAAGTTGTCCTCCTTTCCCCAGGCAGGTTCCATTCCCACTGCCTTGTGGTTCAAGGCCTTGTCCTCTGCCCCATCCCCCAGGAGGATTTCGGTGTGAAGAAACCTATTAATAAGCACTGATTGCTGTCTTCTATTATTAGTTCCAGGATGCTCAGATGGTCCAAGGGTTTTAAGACGTCTGTGCAGAAGGAATGGCCCAACATAATTGGGTTAGGAATGAACAAAGCCAGGAAAATGAGTACTGTATATTTGAGAAGAGAGAAGGCTCAGAGGTCCAATGACAGCAAATTGCGCTCTTGCAGAAGGAACTGGGCAGAGTCACTTGAGAGTCAGGAATGCTCAGAGTTGGGGACTTGGCTCTTGTGTCCCAGAGACAAATAAAGGACAAGTGGAAAGGACCGACCCAGCTACTTGGGCAGAATAGGGGGTAAGACCAGTGAGCTGCTATTGCGGGAAACTGAACTTAAACAGTGAGTTTAGCAATGAGGGGCGTGACCACTCTTTGAATGTTCTTTTCTTGGTGCGCCCCCTCTGAGGGAGTGGCCTGGGGTCAGAACAATTCCCTGACTGTTAAAAGAATACAACTGCTCTGTCTGGAGTAGGGGCTGGGAGGAGGACTGGGTGTTTCTTTAGGGCAGGTTGTTTAGAAATACTAACCAATATGTTTGCTTAATCATAAGGCCATCTCTCATCACACCCTGTCAGGCCACACAGAACACATTTTTTGCATCCCTTGGTCTGCACCCCAAGGTGCTTCCACATGTTGCAACTTAAATAAAAAAGAATGCACATACTCCCCAGGAGCAGAGCAGACTGAGCAGAGGCCAATGCCAGTCACAAGACTCATGGGGCCTGTGTGTCTGAGAGAGCCCAGAGCAAGCTGGGTCAGGGAGGTGGGCACAGGCTCAGAGGGTGGGTGGGGTCCAGGCAGTACGAGCTTCCCAGCGACCACAGATGTCTCAGAATGCAATGGGTGGGCATCCAGACAGATATTGGGTAGTAGGGTAGTCCTGGGGGTCTGGCCTGAGGCCTGCAAGGGCTAGTTGTGCATGGCAGCTCCCCACATATTCACCGGAGAGTCCACCACCTGGCCTCTGGCTACAGTGAGGGGGTACAGATGGAGTGGTCACACCTCCACCTGCTGTTCTGCCACCCCAAACAGGTACCCAAAATGGACCCAGGTCCTGTGAAGGCAGCAAGCAAGGATGAAGGGGAAGGCAGGGCAGAGAGACTGCCCCATCATGGATCTTCTAGACACAGAACCCACGTCCTGCCCACAGGGCCCAGCCCAGGGCATCACACGGTGGCTGGGACAGTCACCATGCCCTCTGTCAGTTCACATCTCCCCTGGCCTGAGAGCAAGAACTCTGACCCTCAGCTCTGTCCCTGTGTCTTGCCCACTGCTGGCCCTGTGGCCATCATATCCTTCTTTCCATGAACCTGGACTTTTGGTCACTTCATAGTATTCCTATCACCCGGGTAAACTGAGGCCAGCTGTAGGTGAATCCCAGCCGTGCCTCTGCCTGCCCCACCCCCTCGTCAGGCTGCCTATATCCCTTCCCTGCGTCCCCTCATCCTCTCCATCAGGGAAGGCTTAGGGGATCATGTTCCCGGGCCCCCTTTCCTCACCTGGTCCAAGCCAAGCTGCCTGCATGGGAAGGAGAAGGTGAAGCCCAGAGGGAGGCTCTGCCCGCTCAGGCCCTGCCTCTGCTGGAAGTCCACAATGCAGTCCACGATGTGATCAAAGAGCTGTGGGGGAGGCTGAGTCAGCACCCGGGTTGCCCAGCCACTCCCACACCAGAGGAAGGAGCAGGAAGGGCACCTGCTGTCCAGAGCCCTGGGTCACTTGCTCCGGGATGGCATAGACTTGGCTGGAGATCGTCACACCGTCAGAGGCCACACGCACCAGGAGGACTCGGAAGTTTGTGCCCCCAAGGTCCAGAGCCAAAAAGTCCCCGCGTTCTGTGGGGTAGAGACCCTCAGTGCCAGGCAGAGCTGGCCACGTGCTGGAACCTCCCAGCAGGCCACGTCCCAGCTTGTGTCTCACCGCTGCCATCGGGCGTGGCACGCACGTAGGTGGGCAACATTCGCAGGGAGGAGGCCTCCCCACGGAGGCCCCTGGCCATGGCCTCCCGCATCTGGGCCTGCACCGCAGCCAGCTGAGCGCGGTCAAGCTGAAACGGCGCCAACGTCTCCGCCAGCAGACGTCGGTGGGCAGCCAGCCGGGCGGCCACAGCCGTCACCATTGCCACGCCCTGGCCACCGCCATCCACAGAGGGCACGAAGGAGACATCACATCCAGGGGTCAGGAGCTTCACTGTCTCCTGCAGAATGCTGAGGAATCTGCAGACGCACCAGTGCACAGGACTTGACACCACCCCAACCCCAACCAAAATCATTGCAAATTGACAAAGTCTGTTCTAGGTGCCAGACCAGCTCCCTCCTTCCACCCAGAGAGAAGCACCAGCCCCTCCTGTGACCTTCATGGCCATGTGTTGCCTCAGTGGACATTTGTCCACTTGAGTGTCATTTGTACACCCAACCTTCACATGCACATATTGTTGCTGCACCTTCACTCCATGGGTTCACACTCTCAGTACCTGGGGCGTTGTTCAAACACTCGGCCCCCAGTGGCCACAGAGACCTGGAGCGTGTGCTGCTCCCGGCTGTGCTGCAGGCGGCCCAGGACGGCGGCCAGGGAGGCAGCGCAGAGGCGGGCAGCTCTGGTGGACACAGCCTCGCACACGCGCTGCACAAGCTCCACATCCGAAGCCCGCGGGCTGAGACCCAAGCTCTCTAGGATGGCGAGCGCTCTGCCTGCTGAGGGGCTGGTGAGGAACAGAAGCTGGTTTGAGCCCAGAGCCTCCTGGTTCCCACCTCCCACAGAAGCCTGTGGCTACTTGGGGGACAGAGCACCCACACCTAACCTCAAGATCTCCTCCTTAGCCCCACTCACTCTTCCATCGCAGCCATGTGCTCCAGGGTCACGCTGCCTTGGCTCATTAAGGCCGGGGAGGTGGAACCTCCAAAAAGCAGCCCACACTGGGCCAGGTGAGCCAGAGCCAGCCTCACTAGCTCACCCAGGTACAGCCCTCCAATCATCTTCTCGAACCTGGAGGGGGAAGGACAGCAGGACAGAGCCTTTCCTAAGCCAGCAGCCTACTAGGCCCAGTCTCTGAGGCCCCTACAGAGGGCTCATTGCCTAGACAGGGAGGCCTCAGAAGTAAACCGTCTTCCAGGAGGCAAGTGGGGGCCTGATCAAGCCCTGCTGCCCCTATAACCTGAGTTAGGTTCAGGGATCTCCTTGGAGGGGCAAGTGGCCCCAAAGGAAGGCAGGTGACTTTTTGCCTAGTTAGCCCAGCACCCGCCAGGGGCAAGAGGAAGAGAACACCATGTTCAAAAGCCTTGGCTCTTCTTCCTTGAGCCCAGCCAGAGACCTCGGGAGCACCCGGGAGACCCTTAAGGTAAGGTTCAGGGCTGGGATCAGAGGGAGGGGCCCTGGAGCAGAAACATAGGGTCCCTCTAGGCTACCTCTGGGCACCAGGTTTCAGGGACTCTTGGTCCAGCGTTTTGTCAAACGGGGTCAAGACTGGCCCCAGGGCCTCATCATCACCAAAGGAGCCCCACTCGACACTGATGCAGATGCGGCCCCGGTCCTCATCCAGAACTGCCACGTGCCGCACTTCCTCCATGTAACAGGCGTTGGTGCCAGTGTCTGGCAGGATAACACTGTCAGGGTCTGTTCGCTTCCCTGCAACAGCCACCCGCACCTCCCTCCCCTCTGTCACAGAGGGCCTCACTCACCTACAACGAGCCCAACCTCACACGGCCCAAGCCTGGGGTCACAGCCCATCATGGTACCCACCGTGTCATTCACCACAGCGACCACATCGAGGTTGGGGATCTGCACAGTGGACAAGGCAGATGTCAGGGGCCTACAGGGCGAGCCAGACGGGCTGCCTGCATGACGGTCATGCCTGGGTCCAGGAGCCACAGCGGTGTGCACAACCGTACTGTTCTGTGTCACAAACATACTGCCTCGCTTTCTTCCTCCCACCTAAGCTCAGGCCCTTGGGAGTCCCAGTCTCAGCTATCATGCCCCCCGCCCCAGAGCAGAGCCTGAGTGGTATTTAATGAGAGTCTCCTTAAAAACTGTGACTTCACTGGCCTTGTCCTCCCCACGTCACCCCCCTCCCTGAGCCTTGACTCCCACCTCTGCTCAAAGCTGGCCCAGACAAGTCCAGCTTACCCAAGCATTCAGTCTTCTTGTGCTCACACCATTTTAAAGGCCAGATCACCCTGTCCAGTCACAGCTTATGCAGCTGGCAAATGTCTTCTTCAAGCCACTGCACAGTTCACTCAACAGTGACATATTTCCACGGGAATGCTGTCCCCACTAGACTGGGACAGCCAAAATGTTCTCATCTTTGCTTCTCCCAGTGGTTCTTCCTGAACATTTCTTTGCCCTTTCCTAGCCTCTATTTAGAGTCCCTGGGTAGCACAAATGGTTAACACAGTTGTATGTTAACTGAAAAGTTGAAGGTTCAAATCCACTCAGAGGCATGTTGGAAGAAAAGCCTCTAATGATAAATTTTCTTCCTTTTTTTTTTAAAAAAAAAAATCACCACTGGAAACTCAAAGGAACCCCCTCTGCTTGGACAGTCACAGGGTCAGCCCAAGTCAGGGCTGACTCGATAGTAACTGGGTGTTTAAGACTCAATTCCTGATGTATAAAATGGGAAGGTTGTTGTTGTTCTGAACCATTCAGTAGGATCTAGCCCATGTCTGACCCTCCGGTGGGTTTCCAGAAGCAGTAAATCACACAGGAGAAGATTGTCCATCCTGCTCCTGAGGAACAGCTCATGGATTTGAACTGCATGCCCTTGGGTTGGCAGTGCAGCTCCTTACCGCTAAGCCACCAGAGCTCCCTTAAAATGGGAACACTGACAACTCTTCCCCAAGGTTAAAGCAGATAAAAGACATGAACAAAGTAAGACTAGGCACTCCAGAAGCAGAGATCAGCCTGTGCAGCCCTCGCCCATGTCTGGCCACATGCAGCCTCCTATGAACCTGCCACACTCACCCCCTGCCTCTCAATGGCTTCTCTCAGCAACTGGACCACATCCTGGCCTTCCACACCACTGCACCTAAAGCCCTTGGTCCAGGAAATGAGGGTGCTCTGGAGGCAGAGAAACCGGGTCACCCTCTGGAGGCCTTTCTGGGGCTCCACCCCCTCACCCAGTGCCCGTCCCTCTTTGCTTCACCTTGTCCAGGCCCGTCTGGTGACAAGGGAAGGAGAAGTTGAACCCAAGCGGCAGATGTCTGTCACCCATGGGGAGCGCCTCCAGAAACTCAGCCAGGCAGCGGGCAGCAAAGTCAAAGAGCTGAGGGACACATGGGTGCTCAGCTCTGCCACTGTGTGCCCTTTGCCAGCCCCAGGCCCCAGGCCTGACAATGCTCACCTGCTGGCCAGGGCCCAGCATCACCTCTGAGGGAATCACAAACTCCCGACTCCTGGGCTCCACCCTTTGTCCCTCCGTGCCCGTCAGCGTCACACAAAGAACACGCAGTGAGGCTCCTGTGGCCCCCAGCTCCAGCACCACAAAATCTCCTTTCTCTGGGGACAAACGGGTCACACATAGAGCCGCTAGGCCCCTCAGCAACACTCCATGACTGCAAAGTCTGGTCAGGGACTCCCTTCCTTAAACAGCACCCCTCTCCCAGGCCTGGCCACCCACCGGTGCCATGCGGCGTGGATCCCACATAAGTGGGCAGCATACGGACAGTGGGGGCAGGACTGCTCCGCCCCATCAGCTCCTGCTCCATGGAGCCCAAGAGGCTGGCCTGGATCTGCTGGAGCTGTGCCTCCGTCACCATGAACTGCTGCAGGCATTTCTGCACCTGGGAAGAAACAGGCTGACATCCAGGAGGGAGCCCTGCGGGGCTAGTCAGCTGCTCTGACTCCAGCCACATGGAAGCCAGCCTTGCCTGCTCCCTCTCCTCACCCCAGTCCAGGCAGCACACTTGCTCACTCCCAAAGGGCCCAGCTACAGTCCTGCGCAAGATCCCTGAACCCTCCTAGCCTCCCCCTTTCCCCTATCCCCACACAACCTGCCCAGCCCTGCATGCTGCAGAGAGCGCCCACCTCACTCCTCTCTTCCCTGAGCCAGTCTTGCTCTGCTCCTCCTCATTTCCCACTGCCCTCCCAACCCATCCATTTTGGATTCAGGAAGTGGGGCAAGGCAACCTTCTTGTCTCCCCACAACCAACTCCCTTCTCAGTCCCAGTTTCAAGAACTAGAGCTGCTCAGGAGGCAATGGCTGAATGAGCAGAACAGACGAGTGAAGAAATATCTTCAGGTCCAAGTGTTTCCTCTTCTGGGGCACTCTTAGCCCCAGAGCCTGGTCAGGCCCAGCTCGGGGGTGGGGGGACAAGGGGGGAGTCTGTGCCAGAGGTGCAGCCACCCAGCCTTGACACTGAGTCCCTGCTGCGTGCCCAGCACTTGTGCAGGCACTGTCCATAGCAAAACTAGCCAAGTCTTACTCTTGGCAACGTGGTTCTTGGAGTAATGATGCTGTTAAAAAAACTTTAAAAAATATTAAAATAAAAACACTTAGATGTTAGAGAGTGACCAGGAGAAGATCTTTGTTGAATGGTTGGCTGGGAAAGTCTCCCAGAGAAGGAGACCTCGCTGCAGGAAGGGACAGGTCATTTGGCATGCTGGGAGAGAGCACACGAGATTTTCTTCAGAACAAGAGATGGGCTGATTGGGGCTGGGCTGGCACAGAGGCTGGAGGCAGGGGCAGGGAGGCCTGGACGGAAGAACAACCCAGGCCCTCCTCCCATCACAAGCCCAAGGGGGGTAGTGCCCCAGAACACCTCCAGCACCTCAGCCCTGTGCCCAGAAATCTCCCTGATGGCTCTCCCATACTCCAAGGAGCTCTCAACAGCTTCCCAGACCTGGGGAAAGTTTAATGTCATCAGTGATTTCATTCTCCTTAGATCCACATGCAACACCCATGGCAGTACTGTTCAAGAACTCAGATGGCAAACTGCCCTGGGAAAATCTCTGGGAAAGAATTCTGTAAAATGCCAGAAAGCAAAAATATCATTTTGATGACCAAGGTGTAGCTAACCCAAGCCATGGGGTTTTCCCCATCACTTTGTATGTATGCAAAGCTTAACAATGACAAGAGAGGATAGAGTTGATGTACTTGAATTATGCAGCTGGAGAAAGATATAGAATATACTATGAACTGCCAGAAGAACAAGCACATCCGTTTTAGATGCACAAACAAAATGTTCCCTTCAAAGCAAGGATGGTGAAGTTTTCTTTGGACAACACATCATTAAGAAAAGACCAACTGCTAAAAAATGGCATCGGGTTTGGTAGAGAGTGAGTAGAAACAAACTCCACCTTCCATGAGCTGGAGTGGCACAAAAGCCACGGCTCTGGGCTCAGCGTCATGACGGTGCAGGAACTGGGGACAGTGTGTTCTGTTGCGCATGGGGCTGCCAAGAGGAGGCGCTCACTTGATGGTAACTCAGCCCCAAGACTTTATCCCTTCCAGGGTTAGACTTTCCAAGGTCTCTAGTCCTTCACATCCCACCTTCTGCCTCACATGTTTCCTTGTCATGATCCCAATTCCACCTCTATGACCTGCTACCTCAAACTTGCCCTAGTACTGTGACATATCTGCTCGGACACCTGGATGGATGAGACAGCTCCCCAAAAAGCCAAGGAGAGGAGGCTACCTGAGGTGAGAGATGGGGGACTCCTCTCCCTCTGGTGGAGGGAAAAGGAAACGCGTCCCTAATGTAGACAAATGATCATAACTGTCTTGCCAGATGTTCTTGAGTTAGAGAAGATGCTTCAAGGAGCCACACATGCTAGGAAGTGGGATTCCAGTGTCAACAAATGAGGAGACTGAGGCTCAGAGCGGGGCCATCATGCGCCTGGTCCGCAAAGGTATTAAGGGAAAAGGCACACTTAGAATTCACACCTGTCTGGATGCAAAGCATTTCCACAAAAATTGCAATTTTTTTGTTACCTTCTTTTTAAAAAAAACAAAACCTCAAACATTCTAATAGAATTATCGCCTAAAAAGTCACCTAATGCCACCAAAGACTGGTGAAGGGACAACCAAGAAACTCCATAGGACCTGAGGAGAGGAAACTTACATCTGTCCTCTACCACCACTGGCTGTGTGGTCGCAGTTAAGCGACATCTCTCTTGGGGCCTCAGTCGCTATAATAAAACTGAGACTGTAATGACAGGTGCCAGTCTTGTTCCCTAACGTGTCTCAGGGCTGCACCATGGGGCTGGCTCAAGATGGGCGTGCAGGGAGGCTTTTCTGAATGAACGGTGGTGATGGCAGAGGAATTCGTGGGAGAACAGATGTGCAAGTGGAAAGTGTTGTGCAGCTGTGAGGGGTATTTTATTACTTAATGTAACCAGTAAAGTTACGCTGAAGTCAATGGCTTGGGCTGATGGATGTGTCTCTCTCTCTGCAGAGAGAGGCTCAGGAGAAGCTGACAGTGCAGAGAACGACAAGAACAGATTCTGGGGAAAGGGGTGAGCAGGAGATGGCCCTGGAGCACCCTTTTTATCCTTCCCCAGCCTTAAAGTGGGGAATGAGCTCCCCAGGAGAGCAAGGAGCAAAGGATCAGGGAGTATGCAGTGGGTCCACGTAGAGTCAGCACTGGCCCTTCCAAGCAAAGGGCTCGGTGGACTGGGCCCCTCCATGACCTAAGCAGGCCCCCTCCCTACCAAGTTGGGATGAGGAAGACCCACATCTCAGATCACTGTGAGGACAGGAAAGGCAGCATGTGTGAGAAGGTAGGACAGGAGATGTCAAATGAAGTGAGGTCCCCTTTCTTTACAACACGCAGTCCTTGAATGGTGTTACATGCTTGGCTGTTAGCCAAAAGGTTGGAGGTTTGAGTCCACCCAGAGGTCCCTTGGAAGAAAGGCCTGGCAGTCTACTTCTGAAAAAGCAGCCACTAGAAGCCTTACGGAACAGTTCTACATGAGTTGGAGTCAACTTGGGGACAAATGTTTCTTTCTCTTGGAGACACGGTAGGTAAGCCTGGAGAGCCTGGCTCTGTGCCCAGTTGGAGGCTAAAGATCTAGGGTTGAGACAAGACTCTGAGGGGCTGAGATGGGCCCTGACCACACATGGTTAGTCCACCTTGCTCTCAGATCGCTGGTTGAAGGGAACCATAGCTAAGCCCAAGAGAAATTTAGTTCCCCTGACAAATCCCCCCAAACGAGTAAAGAATATGTGGGGCTGGTGCAGGGACACAGAAGACGATGGCAGAGTGGGTCCTGACTGGGCAGACCATGTCCTAGCCACACTCACCGCAGGCCCAGGGGGAGGCTGGCACACAGCAGGTACTTCAGAACAGTTTGCATAAGGCAGATAAGAAGTCTAGTCAAGCGGACACCAGGCCAAACTGGGAAACTAGAGAGTTTTTCATGAGCCCTGGTATGTGCAGATGCTTTGCCTCCATGAGCTCATTTCATCCTCCCAAAGAGGGGAGAATTAGTCCTTATTCTTCTCTATTTCTCTGATGGTGAAACTTACTGAGCAATGTGAGATGACTTTCACAAGCCCTTCCTGCTTGCGTGGGGGGGTGTGAGGGCTTCTAGATCTTGGTTGAGATGTCAGGAAAAAGAGGAGGTCACTTCCAAGCTAACACTGGACAGTCGGTAAGTGTGCCGAATAAAAACTGCAGGGTGGGCCCAGCACTTGTACCGTCTGTGGGCGCCTCACAGGGGTGGCCGTAAGGAAGAGAGGAACACAAGAGTAGGAGCAGTTAGTGACGTGGAGAAGGGTGGGATTCAAGACACGGCTAATTCCCAGAATATTCTGGGAGCCTTGATGGAAAGTCCTTTCCAGATTCCTTTAGTGGGGCCTGGAAGGCATGGTGATGAGAGCAGTACATTTGGGCCTTCTCCTGGCTTGGGTCTGCCCACCTCTACATGCTTTGCTCCTCATGTATTTCTCTAGTCCTTGCCATAGATTTAACTCACTTACCATTTGACTTGCCTACACCTCCTCTTCTCATCTGTGAAATGAGGCAGTTAAAGCCACCTTCCAATCGCAAAACGACAGACAGATCATGACCAGACATGAAAGACCCAGCAAATTGTAAACAATCCTGTTCTTGACTGAAATGAACATGACACAAGTTCCCAGTCTAGAACTTACCAGCTTGGAGCTGTCCGTGGAGTGGGGTGAGTCCTCTGAGGGGCAGCAAAGGGGCCGATCCCCACTCCCTAGTCCTACAGGCCTAATAAAGTCCATCTGTTTCCACAGTGGGGCTTGACCACCTATGGGAGAGAAAGGACAGTGAAGTCTGTAGGCCCAGAAGGCTGTGACTCAACTTCCTTTCTTCTAAGGGGAACAGGAAGGAAGCTTCACATAGAATTCAGAACCTCTGAGTGGCACAAATCTTTTAGTAATCAACTAGAATGTCCTTGGTTTCCAGAAACATGTAATGAGAGCACTGAAAAGGCTAATTTCCATCTCAAACGCCATTCATTGTCATTCTCTCCTTTTCACCTGCCCCTGTTTGTGCCATCCCCCAAGGACCTCGGCTTGGCCAGCTGTCATCGTGCAGTGAACAGAGGCTGTGATGGAAGCAGACACTGGTAGTAGCTGCCACGCTGCCATGCGTGCAAGTGATCTGAGACTGGCTACAGATCTGGAATGAAGGACATGAAGTCAAAAGGCGCCACAACCATCAGGAAAATTTGATAGATGACTCTGAGGGGTTTAATGTCAGGTTAAGGTGCGTGAAGGAGTTCTGGTGTGATGCAATAACTCAGGTAATAGGCTCAAATAGCTGTCAATCAAAAAGTTAGAGGTTCAAAACTAATCAAAGGCATCTCAGAAGAAAGGCTCAGCCATTAAACGCTCTATGGATTTAACATCAGAAAGACAAAGAATCGAATTAAAAACTGGGCAAAAGATACGAACACACACTTCACCAAATACGCTATTCAATGGTCAGAAGACACATGAAACTGTTATTATTTGTCAGAGAAATGTAAATAAAAATCACAATGAGATATCATTTGACTCCTACCAAGGAATTCTGGTGGCTGAGTGTTAAGGAACTGTGCTGTGAAGGCAGGGTACTCAGTTTGAGACCAGCACCAGCTGTTCCTCAGGAAAAAGCTGGGGAATCACTCCCGTGCGATTCACTACCTCTGACAACCCACCGGAGGCTCAGCTATGGGTTGGTTCCAATTCCACAATACCCAACAACAGTCTTGGGAGAAGTACAGTAGCACGCTGGTCATCGGGAGGCACTCACTAGTTGTTGGAAAAGGACATCATTCTTGGAAAAGTAAAGTCAGCAGCGGAGAGGAAGATGGGCGTAAGCATGACAGAGATTGAAGGACGGCACAAGACGGGAGAGTTTAACTCTGCTTTCCATAGGGTCCTTGTGAGTTGAGTCTCAACTCAATGACAATGAATGACAAGAATGGCTGAGATTAAAACTCAATAGAGAATAACAAGTGTTGGAGGGGAGGTGGAGAAATTGGAACACTCATCCATTGCTAGTGAGAATGCAACCACTGTGGGAAAGCTGACGGCAACTAACAAAGCTAGAAGTAGAACTGTCATGTGACTCAGCAATTCTACGTGTCCACTCTAGGGAACTAACAGCACTGACACAAACAGAAATCTACACACCATCTTCACTGCTCCTTAACATCTTGAATTCTTCCCTGTGCTTTGGCTTCTCAGCATGCTAGTGCAATATTCAGTCTCTTCTGACATCCACCTTGGTCTTTTCTTCCTCTTCTGTCTTTGTAATGACCCCTGAATTCTTCCTGGATAATATTCTTGATATCCTCCCACAACTCATCTGGTCTTTGCTCATTAGTGCTCAAAGCCTCAAACCTGTTCCTGAGATAGTATTGAAATTCAGGTGGGATAAACTCAAGGTCAAATTTTGGTGGATTGGATTTAATTTTCCTTAGCTTCAGCTTGAACTTGCATATGAGTAGTTGGTGGTTTGTTCCGCAGTCAGCACCTGACTTCATTTTCACAGCTGATATTGAGTTTCTCCAGAGATTCTTTCCACAGATGTAATCTATCTGATTCCTATGCATACCCTCAGGTAAGAGTCATGTATACAGCCTGGATTTATGTTTCTTATAAAACATATTTGCAATGAATAAGTCATTGATTGTGCAAAATTCTATCATTCTAGACAAAAGAGGAAGA